AAAAAAAAAAAAAAAAAAAAAAAAAAAAAGAAAAAAACCAAACCAAAACAAAACAAAAATACATTCAGTTATTCAAAACATCTAGCTTCTTTCCATTATTATTATTATTATTATTATTTATTATTATTTTTTGGTACTGGGGATTGAACTTGGGACCTTGTGCTTGTGAGGTAGGCAGCAGAACCACTGAGCTAAATACCTGACCCTCCTTTACTTTTATGATACCACTTCCAGATATTTTTACGAAAGGACTGCTCTCTAAACTAGAATTAAGTCATCTAATTCATTTGTGGTGTTTGCGTGGTATATTCTTGTATAATTGTACATAAGTGTGCAGTGAGAAGTGCTTTTCTTTTCTTTTTCTCCTAAGATTATTTTCCTCGGTGAAAAGGTGAGTGTAGATTTATAGAATATATAATTTTATTCATCCATCTCTTTGGAAGTGAAATAGTTTAGGATCCTAGTGATGAATTCATTTACAACTTAGGTACATGATTTCATGGAGCTGTAATAGATTAGGAAAATGAATGTCAACTTCCATGTTTTCTTTGTGATGACAGAGGGCAGAAGAGTTCTAATTAAATGTACTGCTATCATTTTGGTCCCTTCTGACTGCCTTTGGACAGCTTGTATCTGGTAACAGAATTCACTGGAGAGATTTGTAGGCTCAATTTACAAATTTTTTATTCTTCTCTTTGGCCTTTCTTTATTCTTGTGAAATACATACAGAGAGAGAATTTGCTTAATCAGCATTCAGACAACAGTACATCTGAATTTTGATTAATTTTTAACTTTTACTGGTAATTTTCATTAAAATCTTGTTATTTACTTTTTTTACTGAAATACATCTGTGTGAAATTGATTTGATTAAAAAGAATGTGGTTCTTAGATTTCTGTCATTTAAAGTTTTAAAAATTTATCTGATTAAAATGCTTTAAAAGATCAATTAAATAAATCTCTTCACATGGTTCTGAATATCATATATACAAAATACACACCATTCACAAGGATTTATGTGGAATAAAATCTCAAAGTTGATAATTTCACTTTTCAGGCAATGAATCGCTCCCTGGCTAATGTGATTCTTGGAGGCTATGGTACCACTTCAACAGCTGGTGGAAAACCCATGGAAATTTCTGGCACACATACAGAAATCAACCTTGACAATGCGACTGACATGATTCGAGAAGCTAATAGCATTATTATTACTCCAGGTAAAAAAAAAAACAAACAACAAAATTATAAGGAAACAACATATAATGGCTGTAATTTAGTATATTAAAATAATTTCTTATAATAGAAAAAATAGAATTTGAACATTTTTATTTTTGAAAACATAATGGAAACATAGTCTGTGATTACTAGTGGAGAAATACTGAGAATATTTAGTTTAAATTAATATTTGAGGATCACATAGATATTCCCTAACATGATGTGTAGTGAATTCTAGCTATGTCTTTCTACCATTTTGTACGTATGTTGAAATGATTTTTGAGTTTTAGCTATTTTCTATCATTGGTAATTTTTTGGATTATTATCAAGATTAAATTAGATTTGGTAGATGAAAGTTATTCATTAGACTCTCAGTAAACATTACTCTCTTAAAAAAGCACATATTTGAAAAACTATTCAGAATTATGTGGCTTCCAATAGGATGAAGGAACATGGCCAAGTTGAAAGAGCTTTTGTTCTTAATATCCGTCTGCATGACAGATTTCCTGTTATACATGGAATAACATATATGAATAATTTTTTTTTCATTTAGGAGTGGGAGTGGGAATTTCAAGTTACTGTTTTGGAGGCACTAAATTTGGACAATGAGCATGATGTCCTGGAGTTCAAATGATAGGCCGAACTCTACTCAATGACAGACAGACTGGGAGTCATCAGATGGCTGTTGGAATCCTGGGATGAGCTGAGATTTTCAGGGAGGAGTGAGGGCCAGATTTAAAGACCTAGGAGAAACTTAGTCCTCCAATGAGAAGAACAGAAAGAGAAAACCCATTCAAGGAATTTGAGGAAGAACAAAGTTAAGAGAAGAATGAGGAATGCAGTGTCACCAAAGCCAAGCATACAGAGTTTAAGAATATCTGAGAGAGGGAGGAGGGAAGAGAGAGCACATTGCAGTTGTGTTCACGGTGCAGTGTGTGGCAGGGGTGCCCGACACTATGATCCTATGGAAGATGGAGGAGGGACCAATAGACTTTTAATTTTCAAATTTAGGCCAATACTGTTCAAGGCCAGAGTACAAGTTTGCTTTCATTTCTAGTCCTATTAACTGATTGCCTATGTTGACATTCAATATGTTTTGATAAAAAAGTTCATAAGATTTCAAAATAAAAATCATAATTACTTTAATGTTCTTGCAGGCTATGGTCTCTGTGCAGCTAAAGCTCAGTACCCTATTGCTGATTTGGTAAAAATGCTCACTGAACAAGGCAAAAAAGTCAGGTGAGTGTTTTCGGTGGGGTGTTTCTGTGTAACTATGTGGCAGTGCATAAAAGAAAATAGACAACTTTTAAAAAAGATGACTTTTTTTTTTAAGAGTAGGAAGTATTTATTGAAAAAAAGATAGCTTCTGTTTGAGAGAGACAGAAGGAGGTTCAGAAAATGGGTTGCCTCAAAGATGACTACTTTTTGTTTTTCTTTTTGTTACCAGGGATCAAACTAAGGACCTTGCACTTTCGAGGCCAGTGGCAGCACCACTGAGCTAAATCCCTAGCCCAAAGATGACTACTTTTAAAAACCGTATTTTACACATGTCATGCTAGATCAACTAAAAACCTCTGGTCTGATGTTTTCATTGCTTCTGTCTCATAGCACCAAATCTACTGTATACTCATTGTAGACAGAGACATTTCATTATTCCAAATCTCAGGATATTTATTAATGAAGAGAAACAGAAGTTGTCTTTTCTGTGGTATGATTGGGGAAGGAGGTCAAACACAGCATTTGAATGACATAAAGTTATGTTCTTTTGTTTTCTGTTCACATGGAAAAATAAAAGGCCTCCAAAGAGGTTTTTGAAGAGTCCCTGTGGCTCAGCTGCTTGCCAACTTAGTTCTCAAACTCTGAGGGTGGAAAAGAATGCAGAAAATATTTATTTGCTCAAGTCAGACACTTGTTGAAATCTAAATTGCAAGTGTTCATGCCACTTGCAATTTGAACAATGGACTCTGCTTTTGGGAAGATACTAAGTACAATAGAAAAGTGGAGGACTCTTCATTGTTTGATTTTTCTGTATGACCTTGCATAAAGGCATTTTTTTTTTTTGGTACTGGGGGTTGAACTCAGGACCTTCACTTGCAAGGCAGGCCTGGTGCCACTGAGCTAAATCCCTGGCCCCGAATAAAGACTTTGAGGAATCAAAAACAGGGCCACTGGGTGATGAACTAGATGTCCATTGCTGTGCTTTGCAGATTTCCAGCCTGTCTCTGTTTTCCCTCATTCTAAAGAGCTCATGAAGTCACCCCCAGTAGAACTCTGCTCCCCATTTTGTGGAAAAACTGGTTTAATGGCAGTTGTGTTACCTGATGCCATAAATCAGAGAGACAGGATAACTCATTCCAGTTTTAGTATATGTGCTGCTGAAGCGAGTTATGATAAAAAGTTATAGTTCATAAGATTTCAAAATAAAAACCACATTCTTCTGTGTTTTTAATGTTCCTTGCAGGCTATGGTCCCTGTGAAAAAAATTAGTTTATTCGAAACTTAGTTTATTCACTAGGATATTAACATCTGTTGACCAAACTTATCTGTTAATAAAGTTTCCATTTAGATGTTAACTGTACACTTTTGTCTGGGGACAGAGCATAAGAAAATAGACAAGATACCTAGAATTAATCAGAGTATCTGTGCTAAACTGAATGCAGAATCCTGCTCTTCAGCCTGAATGTCTCAGCTCTTCATGGTAAAAGAAACTTAGATGACAAAGTCAGAGAATCATCTAAATTATTTTAGTGTCTGCTACTGTGATAGCTATATTTTATTTCTTCTTTTCTTTTTTTCCTTCTCACCCTTTCTTTATTTTCACTCCTTCACAGTCCAGCCTTGCAGTCTATAGTTTATGTTTTCAAAGATGTAGAATCAAAATACTATTTTGTAGTAGAACCAGATAGTTTTAATGCTTACTGAAAATCTTAGACAAATTGAGATACAAGATGAGAAAAGTCATTGGCTTTATTTTTTAATTGTTATTTAAGTCTCCTTTTTAGGTTCTTTTTTCTGTTTCCTTATAGGATATTAAGCTGTGCTGTCTCTTTTTAGTCAGATCTTGCTGTTTAGAGTATTTGTAGATTTATAAGTGAACAGTGTGTTAAAGTAACTTTTATGAAGCTGGTCACACCAGTGCATGCCTGTAATCCTTTCATTGAGGGGGAAAAAGAGGCAGGAGAATCACAAATTCAAGTCCCATCTGGGCAACTTAATGAGACCTTGTCTCAAAGTGAAAAATAAAAGGGCCAGGGAAGTAGCTCAGTGGTAGTGTGCCCTTAGGTTTCATTCCTAGTGCAGGGTTGTGGTGGGACCTTATATAATTTTCCTAAAAGGAAATTGTTTTCTTTATTCAACCCACATGTGAAAAAGTCTTATGTATTAGTAATGGCTTTTATCACCACATAAATGTTTAGGAGATGAGTGGCAATCATGATAAAACAGAGAGAGAAAGGTAGCTTTCATGTCTGAGTTATCTACAGGAAAGGGAATGCTTAATTTGACACACCTACTTTGTTACCCACCGATCAGTCTAGGTTAACCATTGGAAAATCAGGACAGTGTTAGGTGGGTGGATGCAGAGTTGAAGAGCATCATGGCTGTTGAGTAATTTGAAGGAATACAGGGCAGAAATGAATAAAACAGATGGAGAAGAATTATCTGGAAATCAGATAAAGGTATAGGATAAATGAATTTTTAGTTTCTGACTTGATTAAAATTAGAAGTTTACAACTGTTACTGCCTTCGTGGGGTGATGTCTGTCACTCTACATCGGAAAAGTAATTACTCGAGTTAAGATTTATGAGATTTAATTATATATGTGCATATTTTCTCAGTTACAGTTTTTCTTTTTTTTGGTACCAGGGATTGAACTCGGGGCCTTGTGCTTACAAGACAGGTGGCAGCACCACTGAGCCAAATCCCTATCCCTATAGATTGCTTTTTATTGAAGCTGTTTTATGAATAGAACCCAAAGCTTTTCAGGAGAGGAGCTTTTCATTGTTTCACATAATTATTGGCAGTATTTATTCAAAATGTATTGCTAATCAATTCATTAATATTTTACAGTAGTGTACAATAAATAAAATTATTGTTCAGTATGATTTCCATATTTATGAGTTAGGAAAATTGCTATTTATGTTCACCAGTGAAATTATATATTATTATATTACAGTGCTTTTTACTATAGCTTGTTGAATGTTCAATATGAGATTTGTTACAAATTATGTAAATCTTACATCTGAATGAAATGGAAGAGGACTATTACAAGTATGAGAGTAGAATATCATATTTTTTCTTTCTAGCTTCTGTGTGGAAATTTTTTTTAAATCACAGAAACTTCATTGATTTTCCTTTATGTGAATATCATCATCTTTTCATAGGAGAAAAGTGAATTTTCTTCACAAAATTAGAAATATATATACTTAGATGCTAGCTTTTTGTAAGAGTCAAATATGTCTGAATGAGAAATGACTGCAGCAGTTACCTCGTATTTTAATGAAATAAATCTGTATTTACAGTTTTCGGTAATTTAGTCCTTTCATCACTCTGTGGAGCTCTCACAGTGCTCATTGAGTGCAGCTGCTGGGTCTCTAGATTTAGTAGGTCTTTGTGCCTCAGGACCCTAGTAAACCTCACATCCAGATGTGGTGCCACATTCACACACATCCCCTGTGGAAATGTGCCAGTGTGGACATACGATTGTCATCAATTAGTTATGCCCAAGTGGTGCCAAGAAAAATTGTATCTGACATACAGTCTGTCTGGCTTCATGGGCCATGATTGATTTAGAGACACTCTTGTTTTCCTTCGCTTTGGCCATAGACATAACATGCTTACAAGAGGCTATTACATAATGAAGCACATGACGTTTCATGACAAGAACTCATTTCTGGATGTCAATGTCATGAAAGTCCATCGACTTAGGTTGTTTAGTGGCCCAGATGTTTATGCTTCACAGTTGTCCTGAATGCCTGCATGATTTACCTAACTTATGCTGGATCTCTAAAAGCATTTTATGACCAAAACCAGAGTGTAGACATTTCTTTCTCTTTACTTCCTAGTCTTTTTATTGATTATGTGATGGACTTTTCACTCTAAAGCAGAGATAGCATTTCAGTAAGTCACAGAAAGGTGTCCAATTTTTTGTCTTGTAATTAATTACTGTTTGATATTCTTTCTGTAAGCTATTTCTGCTTTATTACAAAAATCTTTTGAGTTATGAAAACACTTCAGATTTTTGATTTACTGATTCTGTGTATTACTTGTTTTTGGCTTTGTTTTGTTACTTGAGACATTTCTTGCTATGAGTTCAGGTTGATCTTGAACTCATTATGAAATCCAGGTTGGCCTCCAAATCATAGCAGTCCTCCTGATTCACCCTCCCAAGTGCTGTGATTATAGGAGTGCACCAAAATGCCTGGTTTATGTATTACTTTTATGTTAATATTCATTTATATCTTTCTTTTTTGATTGCTTACTAATAGAGATATATTATTAGATACTGAAGATATAAGGATGCATAAGCCCGGTTCACACTTTCAAAATTTTATAGATATGAAGAAAACAAATCTATAAACAATGAATCAGTGAATTTGATTTAATGTGGTAGGAATACAAAGGAAAGGAATACTTAACTATTCAAGAGACATTTTCAGTTTGTTATACTGCTCATAACATGAAAATATTGAAGGTGTTAAAAATTTATGTGTGTGTATAAATATGTATATTTATATACATACATATAAATACTTTGTCCTTAATTACAATTAGAATTTTATATGTGCGTGTTTGTATTTTTTATCCTGTCCAATCATATCAAACTGCCTATGATATTTACAGTTCAGTAGGGTTTTACAGTCCTGTTTAACATGGCTGTAACATAGTTTTAAAGATTTTTTTTTTTACTAAGAAATTTCCTGAAGATATTTGAAGATGAAATGTTCTGTTGCCTTAAATGGATTTTTCTTATTTTTATGAATTAAATGTGATTCAAATAAACTGAGTTCAGCTTTCTCGGATTTGTTATGCTTTTGAGTAGAGAAAGAGCCAAAGCATGCACATCTATAAAATAATAAAGGTACATGATTCTAAAGAGAATGGAAATTAGGCCAGGTAAAAAATTTAGTATTGTATTCTGTTGTTGGGTGAACACTCTATAGGTGTCTATTAAGTTCATTTTTTGAAGGTGTGGTTCCCCGCTATAATTATGTTAGTATTTATCTGATCTTTTATGTCCA